ACCTCGCCTGTTTCGTCACATATAGGGCATTCATGCGTGTGCTTGAAAGCAGCAGTGATACAAGGGGCACAAAACAAGTGTCCACATCGAGTCGCGCAAATTGCGGCACACTCCCCCTCTTCGCACATGGGGCACACGAACTGGTGGGTAAGATTCTCTTCGTCCTCTTCTTCCTCATCAGACTCTTCGTTGTCCTGTGTAACGGGATCGGCGAGGTCTTCTTCGTCCTCGAAATCAAAGCCGTCCCAAGCTTCCCAGGAGTTATCGTCATCGGCGTATCGTTTATGGGCCAGTCTTTCGGCAGGGACGCCATCGGGGTAACATTCGAGACCTCGTTCATCCTCCCAGTCGTCGTCTTCGACGCTTTGGTAATTGGGTGGGTAATCATCGTCTTCATCGTCAGAGTCATCGCCGGAACGATGGACACAGTCGAGGTGGTATTCTAGTCCCTCGGTGGTTTTAAAGTGTCGTCTGCATTCTTCGCAGTAGTGGTGGCCAACCGCGATAACAAAGTGCTAGAGAAAAGGAAAGTTCAGTAAGTTGTTGCTACTTTCAGGTGCTCGGCATAAACCTACCTTGCGAAGAGTATGCAGGTTGAGGAATCGACGGTCACAAATGTGACATTGCGGGTGGTCTTTTGACCGTTGGATATGATGTTCCCGCTCTTTGTCATTGACGAAGTAATCATCATGGGCGGCGCAGTATGAATAGCCGATAGAGGAAGACATGATGAGGATAAGCAGTTAAAAGTTCAAATTGATAGAAGAGTAGAGTTGGATAATAGGCCGATAGTTCGAGTTTGTTGGATCAATCCTGTCCATCTTGTCCACCTTTTATAGACTTTAGGACTGAGACGGGGGTTGTGCAGGATTTCGAACGGGGGCTACCAGTGGGATCCTATCTGAGTCTAGGCCACCAGGCCCAGACCTTTGGAAAACCCCTTTCGCACCGTCTTTGAAAGATCAGTGAAGCTAAAGGATGAGTCGGGGGAGCAGGAGTCGAACAGGAGCTACCGGAGGCATCACTCCCGGAGCTGGCCTACTCAAAGAATCTTCTTCGTCCTGCCTCAGAGTCAAGCTGAAGAAAATAAGTAGGAGGAGCAGGAGCTTCCGGTAGCATCCCTCCCGGGTCTAGCCTGCTCAGGGAATGCTTTTCGTCATCTTTTCTAAAGATGAGCGTCGGATGTCTGGCTCTGAACTTTGCCAGAGTCCACGCCCTCCGCCGATGATCCTTTTCCCTATCAGAAGGCGGGCGCTTTGAAATATGAGTCGGGGGTACGGGAGTCGAACAGGAGCTACTGGAGGTATCACTTCCGGAGCTGGCCTACTCAGGGAACCCTTTTCGTCTTGCCTGGGACTGGGGAGTTAAGTTGAAGAAGACAAGTAGGGAGAGGAGTCGTCGAACAGGAACTTCCGGTAGCATCCCTCCTGGGTCTGGCCTGCTCCGGGAACCCTTTTCGGCCTTTTCGTCATCGCTTTTGGAGATGAGCGTCGGATGTCTGGGTCTGAGTTTTGCAGCGGTTATCCGAACCTCCGCCGACAACCCTTTCTTTCGAAGGCGGAGTTCTTCTGGTATTCCCGTAGGCGAAAGGTAATCAAAGGGAACCACCTTGAAATAACAGACGAGGGTCACCATGAAACAGAAAATTGAAATACATCTGTCCTCATTCCATAATTTAGTGCTCGCAATCTGAGATGAAATAGGATATCCACAATCGAGAAACCAAGTTGCCCAACGCGCCAGCGAATCAACATACAACGGTAATAATACACGCAACACGTACAGTTGAATCTTCAACCAAAACTATCAGAGGGTCCTTCATCCAACTCCTCCGTCTCCCCTTCATTCATCTCCTCGTCCGAGTTCTGACCCTCCTCATCCAAATCTTCCATACTGGCGTCCAGATCCTGCGTAGACTCGTTGTCCCCCTCCCCTTCATCTTCCATGATTGAAGGAGGACCTCCAGACGCGGCAGAAGCCGATTCTTCTGATTCATCTTCGTCAGCCTGTGCGACAAAAATGAAACGTCAGATACAAAAATTAAAATGCGTGAAAAAGTGTGAGTGAGGGCAAACGAAACGAAACGAAACGCACGTCGTTCTTTTCCTCCATCACCGTCAACGTTTTTCCAATCGGCACTAAGAACGAAAATCCTCGATGTTGGACCGCCAAACCCTGCAGACCAAGGCCTTTACATTAATTTCCTTCATTCTCCGAATAAAAACTGGGAATAACCCACCAATTCTTCCATCTGCGTCTCCTCATCGCTCAATTCATCCATCTCAGCTTGTAAATTCCGCCATCTGTTCATATGCCCATATCCAACATAAGTTCTCTCGCTTTCGTTCTCATTTGCGTTTCCAGAAACGTTGACGCTGGGACCTTTCGGCAAAGGCATAGGCTTCACCGGAGGAGCATCGGGAAGAAGACGGGGGAATAGCTGGGGTCGGGGGAGGAGAGTTGGTGTTGTGACTGGCATTGTCTGCTCGGTTATAGTGGTTGAGAAGGCAATACTAATGACATCGGAGTAGGTTGAGATGAGTGAGAAAATCCAAGAGGCGCTCGGCGGGTTGTACGAAATTAACGTGATATTCGCGTGATACGCAACTAACATTAATAAATTACAAGCCAAGCTCACTGTATACGATACGACTAAATAACTGCTCTAAAATAACTCATAAAACGATCATCAAAAAAAGAAAAAAAAAGCTAAAAGATTGTTCAAAGTTTGAATCAACCCTTGAACCCCTTCGCAATCCACTCGAGCACAATCGGCGTCAACGTATTCTCAAGCGGCACCTCCGAAAGAAAGAAATCCATAATCGGATCATCATGCAGCCCACCGTCCTGTACCTCCAAAACAGCATTCCCATGATGCTCCTTCATCTTCTCATAAAACACCACATCCTGGTCGCGCAAACGCTCTTCGTCACCCGTGGAAACCATAATCCTATCAACCACATCGTCCAACCCGGCGAACCAATCGTCTGGAGCGCGGACCGGCTCGGCGTAGGGTGTGAATGAGGAAGGGACGTGAGCGAGGTAGATGGGTCCGAGGTTTTCGACACCTTTGGCGATGTCGTAATAGGCCTTGGCGTGGAACGAATCACCCCATTGGTCCGAGTCAACTAAACTCACCCAAGGAGACATCATATACGCTCCTCGGAATCGGGTAGACGAGGGTAGATTGAGCGGAGGTATGGAAGGGAGAGGGTGAAGGATGTGAGACAGAACCTGGGAGACGAGATTGCCTCCAGCGGAGTCGCCGACAAGTTGGATGTTGGACGGTTCACAGCCGATAGAGTGCAGGTATTCGATAGCGCGGGTTGCTTGACGGAGCTGAGTGGGGAATTCACCTTCCGGGAGGACAGCTAGATCAAGAGTTAGTGACTGAAATAGAGATTCGAGGGGGTGAACTTACAATACAGCAAAACTGCGATACCAATGTTGAGCCCTTGCTTCTCCCACTCCATTTGAGCGTATCTCCAAAATTTCAGCATCTGCTCTTGGACGGGATAGAAGTACGCTCCGCCTGTCGATCCAGAAATTAACATCGGCATTCTCAAAAGCAATCTTGTATTTTGACTTACCTGGGCAGTACAGGATTACTTTATCCGTCCGCTTTGGACCGATCCACAATAAATGTGTACCAACTCCTTCTCCACAATCAAGATAATCAACGGTAGGAACCATCTTATACTGCTTCGTCCACTTTTGATACACGTCGAGACCGCTCCCCATTACCCATTGGACCTCCGGAGCGGTCAAGGCAGGGAAAGAGGATCGGATAAGTGCATCACCTATACGTCTCTTGCGCGGCTTTGAGGTGTAAGCGGGAGAGATACTTTCAGTGAGGCCGAGGAATGTGCGAATAGCTTCGAGGGCAAGGGTAAAAGCTAGATGTGCAAGTAAGTAAAAGTTATCTTCAATGAACAAGTACGACTCACGGAGGAGAAAAAGAACGAAAATAATATGAAGATAATTTGAGAAAGATATAACGCCGTACTTGGGCTGGACGGAGAAAGAAGACTTTGTTTCCCAGAACATCTTAGCGTTACGTTCACGTTCACCGGCAGAGGGGTAGGAGGTTGGGGGATGGGGGGAAGGAGGATGAGAAGGACGAGAGGGGAAAGAAGCCGGATCCAACACGAACACCAATCCACGGACAAAGAGAACTTTTTTTTATATCCCTACCCAGCCAATAGGCGAGGCATGACCCTCTGCGGGGCGCCATTCAGCCCTTGGCACAACAAGATGTTAACGTCACCCCGAAATAAACAATTCTACAGGATTTTGACATCTTTTATCCCATTGGGGAGCGTTGAATCTCGTTGATTCATCAGCGCTCCTTCGCACGTTGAACGCATCGTGTCAGATTCGTGTTGTATCAATATCCATCGATGCCCTGCTTGTGACTCTGGTCAGTGCTATGCTACGCATCACGAACTAAAAGACGAGCGCATAGTACCATTTAGATCCTCTGGACCTTCTTCAAAGTACAGAATGCTCCTCTCTAACCCTCTGAAGTAGTCCCAAGCTCTCCATTGCACCCGCCAGGTTCATTTCCGTACCCGCTGTTGTGAGCCTGGTGTGATCCGACCTTTGCTTCTGAATTCATGACATTACACGAGTCATGCAACACGATTGGATATTAAATCCTGTTTATTGTTCTCGATTCTGTGCATACCTGTGGAAATGACATTCCGTGTCAAAAAAAATTTGAAGAATATCAAAGGCTGGAGCTGGTGCGAGGCAGTATTTTCTTGATACAACGTTGCTGTAATGTTGCAAAATGTTGATTCGATGGCGTGAATTTCGCACGGCGACGGCGTTGCTATCTATTAGATACCACATCGGTTCACAGTAACGCGTCTGTATATTAGATTTCTGTTTCAGATGAGACGTAGAATGAAGGCCTGTGGGATCTCAGAAATCTGGGGTAGTTTTCAATCCGGTCTACATTTGTCGGGTCAAAAAGAAAAACACTCTACCCAACATCATTCCGACACGGGGAATCGAACCCGGGCTATCGCGTTCCCACTTTATTTGCTTTCAGCAATGAGAGGCGATAATGTTAGCCACTACACCATATCGGAATATTCACAGCTAATTTCAATTAGATTGTACTACCACATAGAAAGCAGGTTTGCGTAAAATAAAATAAAGGGCACCGCCAAACCAGAGGCTCTGAGGACTATATATTCAGCGCCCAGTCGGCCACTGGAAGCTCCTAGTTTAGCTTCGTTGGGCCAGCTTCTATTCTTTCTCCTCCTCCTCGCCAGCATACTCTAGCCAAGACACGTCACTATTTTCTAGCACTCACTGAACCACTATCTTATGCACAAACACGGTCACGTGGACGAGCGGGATTGTAGGTTCGATTTTGAGAGAAGATTCTAGATTCTCCGAAAGAATGAAAGGGAGCAGTCCGGGTATAAGCGGCGCTCACAGATACTGTAGTGTAATAAGAAAAAGTATGTACAGTACATTACAATGGTACAAGATATATTACATTGTCCGAGCTAGTATCAGAGTATTTCGTAGTACGTATATTAAATAAAGCATACAGTATGCTACGATGATTGGGAGAAATTTGCCACACGTACGAGTGCATAGATACCTACTTTCAAAACCATTCCGGATCGTACTCACTTCCATACATGATTTCCATAGCTACCTGTTCAAGTTGACCGGCACCCATACCTCCACAAGAGCATTCTCTCCTGGCGCAACTGCTACACAACGGCAATCCACAGGCTCCGCAACGATCCTCAATGTGATCGTCACAGAAGTGTTCACTGCAAGAGCCACACTCCACCACTTCGTCCCCCTTATCTCTGCAGGCCTCGCACAACCGGAGATCACAGGCATCGAAACTGCACGCATGGTACAGTTCCACATCGTAAGGGCCAGACGTGGACTTTCCTACCTCCTCCCCTTCGCGAGTGGCAGTAACACAATCTTGACAGAACTGCGATTCGCCGCAGCCGTGACATCGCTCGATTCTCTTGCACTTGTCGCAAAACCAGCTCCCGCACGAAGGGCATTGCCAGACTGGAGGAAGACTTCCCATCACACAGAGATCGCAAATCCAGACGTGCTCCTTGATACACTGCTCTCCACCGTCTGGAGAACAATCCGGACACACCAGACCAGATTTATTCCAGCAACGACCTGATTTGCATTGCGTCCAGCCCACGCCGGAATCTTCGAATTTGAGACATGAAGAGCACGGGGCTAGACGACGATCGTGTCGAGGCTGGGGTTCCTTTTTGCGTTTCTTAACTTGAGGCTGGTCCTCTTTCGATTCCTCGAGTTCTTCAGCTCCAATCGCTTCAGCAGAGTCGACGGGTTCGCCTAAGCACCACTTCCAGTCCTGCTTACACATCCAATTGCCGCATTCTTCGTCCGGGCATGACCTCAAACGAGGTTCAGGGGTGCTACTGCCTTCAATGGGTACAAGAATGCACTCTTTGCAGTAGACCTCGTTGGGGTGCTGGAGACAACGCTTGGCATCATCTAATTCGTGGGCTTTGCAGTTCGTAGTAAGACAGAGGTAGGACTTGCAGCCGATGCATTTGACTAACGACGGCGGAGGTTTCTGATGCGCTTGGTGAGTCGCTACGCAGACGGGACAGAAATTTGGTTTGGTCTGGCCAGCGACTACATTATCAATTTCAGCCTGACTGATAACGTGGTTCTCAACCAGTTTCTGGTGGAAGGCCTGAAACACCACTGGCTTAATACGGCTATTTGACCTTTGGACGTAAGGAATAAAAACTCACGGAAATATCTGCCCTCTCTTTCCGCAGCTCAGCCTCTCTTCTTTCCTGCTCCTTTCTCGTAAATTGTTCCCCGGCCTCTTTTTCTCTCCGATACTCCTGAACAGCATAATCTCGGATCTCCCCGAGCAAATTCCGAATTTCATTGGGAGCGGGAAACTTTTGACCCGAAAATTTGTCCGTAACCCGCATCATATTCAGGTTGATCATAAAATGGGTACTCATGGAAGGACAATCAGGCTCTCCTTCGCCCAAGTTGATGATACATATCTCGGGCTCAGGAGCATTCGGATTTTGAACGAGATACTTGATTTGGGGCGAATGCCACCAATGGTCAATGGGTGCTGGGACTGGCAGTTGGCGATGAGCATATATTGCTTGAGTGATTTGGGTTATTTGAGAAAGCCTGGGTCCAATCTTCACTTCTACCCAGCCCATGGTGGAGGAACAGCAAGAAAATGAAACACGGTCATATGACTATGGAGCTGAGCGATGAACGTTCAAGTACCCGATTACCGTTTCGACTTCCAGTCAAGTAGAGCCTGGCTACAAACTACTTAAATAATGGATGGTAAGCTCGTTCGTAAAGCCTAGGCCTTGGCCTTCCTTTTGGTGTCCGTGCCGCGTTCCGGCGAATAATTATACATCATATCAGTCAACGGTGTCATATCAATCAACGTTGCTTTCACTCCAATACCACGCAATGGAAATTACTTCGTACAAGGACCACCAGGTCTCTCGTGGGTTCACATACCACTACTATTTCTCTCCTCCGAAATACACAAACCAACCAAAGTTCCTCGTCTTCGTGCATGGCTTTCCGTCTACATCTAAAGATTGGCGTAAACAGGTATGTGCATTTTGGGCAGAGATTTGGGTCCTTCCCACTACGATACATCTGTGGATTACTTTCTTCCAGGTCCCCTTCTTTGAATCTCGAGGGTTCGGATTAATCATCCCCGATTTGCTTGGCTACGGGGGCACCTCAAAGCCGTTGGATGTAACAGCTTACAATCACAAGCTGATTGCCCAGGATATCATTGACATCTTGGACTTTGAAAATGTGAACCGTGCGTTTTTCATTGGGCATGACTGGTAAGTCAGAAAGTCTCAAGGAAAGACTTGGACGAATTTCGGAATCCACTCAAAAAAACATAGGGGAACAAAGATCGTCTCCCTTATCACTCTTCAATTCCCCTCTCGTGCCTTGGGAGCCGCATTTCTTTCGGTCGGTCCTAGTGCTCCTCCGCAGGATCTCAAATTCGAAGCCGTCCTAGCACTGCAAAAGGAGAAAGTCGGGCACGAATTGTTCGGCTACTGGCCGTTCTTCTCGGAACCGGATGGTTGGAAACTTTGCGAGGAGAAGGTAACCCATACTGCAGACTACAGTTTTGTGATCTTTCACTTATTTCAAAAATGTTTACGATTTCAGATAGACACGTTTTTCAACATAGTGTATCCTGAAGATCCCAGAACATGGATCACTGAGCTTGCTCCCATCGGAGCCCTGAAGAATGCGCTCTTGGCGAATAAACAATTTCCTCCGCCCTCTTGGATGTCCCCTGAAGTAAGCCAGTCACACAAGCTGCTTAAATTGGGTTACTAAGCACACTATTTCCCATGTACCAACGTTACATAGGAACGCAAAGATGGTATCACCGCCCTCCTTTCGGGTAGCCTACAAGCCCCGACAATGTGGTACAAATACGCGACTTCTGGACTTGCCACTGAGAACGAACTGAACTGTGTGTGCTCTGCTTGCAGGTTTTGTCACCATCTCTTGCTTATTATATACGTACTTGCCGTGATCATTCAGCATTTCCCACCGAAAGCTACAAGATCAACATGCCTGTCTTCTTCGGCGGTGCCCTGGACGATTTTGTTTGTCTGGCGGGGCCAAATAAGAAGAGAGCTGAGGAATACTGCACGGATGCAACTTTCCGCGAGTACAAGACGTCCCACTGGTTGATGCTTCAAGTTCCGGAGCAGTTGAACGAGGATTTGTTGAGCTGGATCGAATCCGTTGTCGAGACTGCTAGATAAGAAATCAATCGTAACATGTATTCTGTGATTGACGTTCTGTGATTGAGTGTCCCTGATTTGTAACTAGTGTGATTAGGCAAACTTCGTCGATTTTTCTTTGCTACAGCATAATTCCAACCAGCTTCAGTCGAATTGGTACCTTCACGATAGGACCTTACAATGGCACCCCAAACTAAGTTAAGCATCACATACTCATAAGTTACTTACACATCCTTTTTCCTTCCTATACAGTAGATCGACCGTTCACTGACCCTCCACTCCCACTCTAACCCACAGGAACCCTACCCCCGATTCATCGTATTCCCCGCCCCCCTCGGATTCTCATCCGTATACCTCGCCCAACTCTCATCCTTCACCCTCCTCTCCTCCTCCTTCGTCTCCCCCTCAGCCGTCCCATCCTCCTCCGCCTGCATCGCAAGCACCTCTTTCGAAGTCGGAGCGTTCTCCGACGCCGGTCCTCCTCCCTGGATGAATTTTCCTCTTGCTTGTTCGATTTCGAGATATTCGTCGATAGACATGGTGGGTAGGTTGTGGTCGGGACGGAAGACTTGAGCTTGGAGGCGGGTGCGGTCGGATGTGGTGGATGTGGATCCAGAAGGGAGGATGGTAAATGGTTGAAGCGGCTGGGAGGATAAAATAAATCAGATACGGTCCTGGAAGGGCTAAATGGAAATGCGAAAGTCCAAGTCACGGCGCGTTTTGCTAACGCGACGTAGGCGGAGCTCAAGAAAGCAGCTCGGAGGAAAATGTAGATAGAAATGAGGCACACCTTTCCTTTTGGATCTAATAGTGGTCCACCCCTCTTTGGCGCATCCAGCTTCCACATATCATTATCCCCATCCTTCTTTCCGTTTCGATTCTCTTGCTCTGATGATCCTTGTGTTGGCCTAGACGGAGGCAAGGGAACATTTCGCAAAAGTTCCATCTCTTGCTCGATACTACCCAACTGTGTCTGCGCCTGAGCGTAAAAGAGTCTGAGGAGAAGCAGGATCGTTGAGCGGATGACGTCGGAAGTGTCAGAATCATCTTCATCATCGTCCTCTTCATCTAGATCGTCTACATTTGACGATGGATGAGATGATTTGGGGGACGGAAGGAGCGACGCGATAAGATTAAAGTCGTTTGGGGGTGAATCAGAAACTGAACGTTGATTTCGTCGCTTCCTGATTGTCTATTCGGTTGGGGCTCTTAGCACTGGATATCGTGTAGCGATAAACATACGCACTTCGATTCTGGCTCTTAAATCCTTTTCTTTCTGATACTGCTTAATC